TTCTTAATACTGTGTGTGGTTACCTGGATGATCCACGACTGTTTTCTGTTTTGTGATGGTTGTTCATGAGTCCCTTGTTTGTTCTGAACAGTTAAACTGAGCTCCGTTCTTCAGAAAAATCCTCCATGTCCTGCAGATTCTTGAGTTTTCCAGCATATTTTGCATATTTGAACCCTTTCCGGCAGTGACTGCATGATTTTGAGATCCATCTTTTCACACTGAGAACAATTGAGGGACTCAAACACAACTATTAAAAAAGGTTCAAACATTCACTGATGCTCCAGAAGGAAACACGATGCATTAAGAGAAATACACTTTTTGAAAACTTTTGAACAGGATGAAGATGTCCACATTTTTCGTATTTTGTAGAAATATTTTTTTTTCCCATTTAGTACTGCCCTTCGGAAGCAACTGAAGATACTTGCATGTTTCCCGGAAGACAAATGGAGTACAATTTTCCTTGATCTTCAAATTCAAAAAGTTTTCTCTTAATGCATTGTGTTTCCTTCTGGAGCATCAGTGAATGTTTGAACCTTTTTTAATAGTTGTGTTTGAGTCCCTCAATTGTCCTCAGTGTGAAAAGACGGATCTCAAAATCATACGGTCACTGCTGGAAAGGGTTCAAATATGCAAAAGATGCAGGACAACTGAAGATTCCGCAGGACATGGAGGATTTTTCTGAAGAACGGAGCTCAGTTTAACTGCTCAGAACAAACAAGGGACTCATGAACAACCATCACAAAACAAAAAACAGTGGTAGATCATCTACTCCGGACAGTACTAAATAAAAAATAACATGCGTTTTGTATGATCTCTCTTATTTTGTTGAAATTTCTCATATTTTCACAGATTCTGCAAGGGGTTCACAAACTTTCAAGCAGCACCACAAAACCAGTCTTAAGTCGCTGGGGTATATTTGCAGCAATAGCCAAAAATAATACATTGTATGGGTCAAAATTATTGATTTTTCTTTTATGCCAAAAATCATTAGGATATTAAGTAAAGATCATCTTCCATGGAGATATTTTGTAAATTTCCCACTGTAAATATATTAAAACTTAATTTTTGATTAGTAATATGCATTGCTAAGAACTTCATTTGGACAACATTAAAAGCAATTTTCTCAATATTTTGATTTTTTTGCTCCCTCAGATTCCAGATTTTCAAATAGTTGTATTTTGGCCAAATATTGTCCTATTCTAACAAACCATACATCAATGGAGAGCCTATTCATTCAGATTTCAGATTATGTATAAATCTAAATTTTGAAAAATTGACCCTTCTGACTGGCTTTGTGGTCCAGGGTCACGTGTGTGTGTGTGTTTTAAACTTCTCTCAGTGTAAAACTCAGTCTGAGCAATTGTAACATCGTTATAGAGATATTCTAACCTACAGAGGTTAACATCTCATATATGCTGATAAACCCAAATTCTTTCAATATTGTGTAGGCCTTGCAGTTTTTCAGCACAGGCACGCCACACAGAAACAAGGCATTCTTTATACAAAGTACAAAGGTAAACCAGTATACAGACTGTTGCACTATAAAAAAGGAAAAATCAAAACAAATAATATATATATTCTATCATATTTAGCATATGAACACAGATTCATTTAGCAAGGATTTATATTTGTTACAAAAGTTGGTCCACACAATCACCCATATACTGTATGTACATGCAAAGGGAGAGTAACAACAAACATGACATTCAGTATACATTAAATCGGGATTAGATCACAAGGGTATATGAAGTTTACAAAAATGCTTTCTGGTCACAAAAAATGAACTCTGCACAGGTGTATAAAAGCCATCATGAAGCGAAATATATTGAAGAGGCAGTAGAGGAAAGAGCACAGTGAGTTGTAGGGCTAGAACAATAAATCGATGCATTGCATTTTGTGGATCGATTCTGAGATTATCGGAATGCATTGTGATTCTCGAATCGATTCTGAGCTTAGTTTTTCACAGCAGATGGCGCTCTAGGCTAGTTTTTAACTGCACATTCAAATGCTCACGAAGAAGAGCGCTTGTGCGTTCGGCTGAAGCTGTGGGTGTGTCTCATTTAGAAGGCTGCGCCCTCCGGAGGTCGCATTCGAAGGCTTCATACGTCATCGAGGCTGTCTCATTTCAGAAAAGCAAGTAGGACACTCCCAATGCGACCTTCGAATGCGACCTTCTTTCACAGGAATTCGGAGGATGCATGAGGTGTATCCTTCGCTGCTACAGATAACCCACAATTCTTTGCGTCGCCGTAAACAACCGTTGTTAATTAGAAAAATGCCGGCGCCGGCAGATGTACACACAAGCGCAGATGTGGTGTTAAAAAATAAAACAAGTAAAAGCATTTTTTTTTCAAATTACTTTCCAGGATTCAATATATCTTAGAGGATTCGACCTCCGGAGGGCGCAGCCTTCTAAATGAGACACAGCTATTGTTATCAACCACTGGAAAACACAGTTGAGCACTAACATTTGTTTTTTATTTTCTTATTCTCATTGTCTCTTTTCTTTCTCTGGCAGTTGTAATGTCTTGAAGCAGTACCCGGCCCGTTTGAAGGATGTACAGTGAGTGCTGATGGAAACTACATGCGGAAAGCGGCAAAACGCGGGCGGTTTCGCTGGCGGCCATAAACTGTAAAAAAAGATGGACGACGCGTCTCCTATTCCTTCCACTATAGAAAAGTTAAGTTAAAGCATCTCAGTATGGCCGCTGCCATCCTGAGTAAATTACATCATTTGGAGCCAGAGTCTGCGCAGTAGTGTCGTGAGGTTGAGCCGCGGTATCAAACTCTCGGCCAAACTCCTGCAGACCCAATCAACCATAACGACACACCCCGTTTTTATAGCATCAAATTACTAGCTAAAATCGAACTTATCATAAAAACGAACAATTGAACATATATCAGCGTGATAACAACTACCTTAAATGACCAAAACCATCTTTCGGAAAATTGTATTGGAAGTGTAATTTATTTTTTTATTTTGACTCAAGTCCCATTCGATTACATGTTTATGACCTGTACTGCAGCCAGCCACCAGGGGGCGATCAAAGAGCCCGCAGCTTCACTTTTCAGGACGTGTGAGGCACACCCGCTTGCTTCCACGGGCACGGCGCTTCGTGGCAGGCACCGCCAAAGATAAAAATATTTTATCTTTTTGTGAGCGGCAGCGGCAGCCGCATCGGTTTCAACCTATCAGTGAACAGATTACTAACAACCATGATCACATCAATAAGATTTTTTTTTTGCATTTCCAGCAAAGCCCTGCGCCTGGGATGCATTGTTTAGGCTCAATTAATCTTCTCAATTTTCCTTTAAAATTATATTTCATTCAAATTTTTACTTCAATCGTGACCTCACATGTAATAATGCTCTTTAAGCAAATCATCAAAAACAACTTCACTTGTGCCAAGCGCACCGCGGGTCATGTGATAAGAACCAACCAATCAGCTTCATCCTTTCCCGTAACAACATTGAAAGCTCAGCCAAGATAAAGTAACAGCTGTTCATAGCTGTACAGGGATAGCCATTTTTAAATAAATTTAGTAGCAGAGCTACTGCAAGCGATTTTCAGTGCTGCAAATCCATTTATCCTTTGCTGAAACTTCCGCGTCTTTATGGAGAGCGCTGGTCATGGTTGCTTAGCAACTGCAGACGCCTCCAGAAAGCAAGCGCCCGAACGCTTTGGAAAAAAGCAGAAAGAGGCGAGCCTAGTTTTCCACACATTTTTAGGCGCGACATGTGGACGG